GACTCTCGCCGATGACAGCAAGCGAGGATAGCCTCCAATGCCGACATATCATCTTCTTCCATGTCGGTGCCCTTGTCAACAGACATTCCAGCCGCCGCTGGCTCTCGAGCTTGACCTTCATGGTCATCGACCACTCTCCATAGTTAGTGTGAGTCAGCGTTGGCCAAGTGGTGCCGCTGACCTCCCGCACCGTGCGAACAACTACCTCCGGTAGTGGCTGGGCAGCTATGACAATGCCACTGCCGTCGCCCAACTCCAAACCGCCTGTCATCGCCACCAGTTAGAATAACGACGGCGCTTATACGAGGCTTCGATACCACTTGTTGGCCTATGGGATCACCGACTGACGATAGTGAACTAGTCTCCAGACCACTAGTCCCTAGACCACTAGTCTCAGACCCCTGGCCTCTAGACCATTAGTCTCCCAGACCACTAGTCTCAGACCCCTGGCCTCCAGACCACTAGTCTCCTAGACCACTAGTCTTGCCGACCACCGTACCGGCTTTGTCCGTACCCACACACTATGGATCGAGCTAGAAGAAGAAGGAAGAACAGAGCAAGCATGCACAATACAAGACAACAATGTTGGCTGAGGCCCTGTCTGTGTGATGGCAAATCTGAGCTCTCTTTACTGAGTTGCCTTGGTGTCCTATTTATACAACTCTATCTATCTAACTAAAGTACAAATGCACATGTCACATACAAGAATAACTAAATAAGCATCTGAGGCTGACTCTGCTGCCACCATCAGATGTGTGCCACACAGTCTTGTTGGCAGTGAGCCGTCTGCGGCGCCTGCACCTGCTACTCAAGAGCCTTCTGATATCACAAATGGGGGGGCAAAGTCGGCGTCGTCTTCCTCTGCTGTGTTCACACAAGGTGATAGTAGATTAGCTAATAGGGAATAGTTATCGACAACTCAGAGATGGCAAGCCACTGTCAGTAAAAGGCTAACAAGCAAGTTAGGCACTCGCCATTATGCTGCCGTGCACGCTTGGTCGATGGCTATCTAGCCTTTGCCTCCAATTAGGTTGTGGGTTTGACATTTGCTTCACTTGCCAGTTGCCACGCGTGCTAAATTCACAGGGATGATATGGAATTTCTGGTGGGGTGTGGAAAAAGATAAGAGGAAGATGGCTTGGTTGGCATGAGACAAGATAATTCTGAAAAAATGTTGGGGTGGCCTTGGTTTCAAAGATTTAAGGCTCTTCAACCGGGCCTTGCTAGCGTAGCAAGCCTGGAGACTCATTGTTGTCCCAAACAGTCTTTGTGCCAGGATTTTAAAGGCTAGGTACTACCCGAGAGGGCACTTAGTCGACACGGCATTCTGCACACAACCCGTCCCAAACTGACTTGGCAAGCCATAAAACACGGCCTGGATTTGCTAAAGAAAGGTATTGATATTATTTGGTGAGTCGACGGCAATCAAATTCGCATTTGGAGAGACCCTTGGATCAGAGTAACTACGCTGTGAGGAAGGAATGGGTAGCCGATTTGTTTGTTGGGATAAACGAATAAAAAACAATGCACAATTAATCTCTCGTCTTGTGATGAATCATGAGAAGAACATCTACCATAAGATCAGTAGCGGAAATTAACAACCACATATATAATAGACAATGATTTACGTGGATAACCTCCTTAAGGTGAGGAGTAAAACCCACGGGACCAACCGTCCACTCGAAGCTTCCACTATGATCAACAATGGGTACAAAGAGTCTTCTCTAGAGTATCTAGAGGATTACACCCTCTCAAATCTGGTGCTCTACTCAACCAATTCTCAAACCAACTTGATAGATCGAAGTACTCTAAGTGACGAATAAGCTCACCAAGTTTGGTTTCAATCCAATCACGTTTGAGCTTCCAATCACTGACTTAAAGATGATCGGTTTAGAGCCAGTAAATTTGGACATATTTGCTTCTCCTTCTTCCTCTCTTCTCTCACGTTGTAGTGTGTGTTCATCTCTCTCCTTTCTCACAGCAGCAGCTCTTACAAAGAATGGAAGCTAGGGTTTTCCTTTTTTATTTATTCCAAGAAACAATCTCAACCGTTGATTTAGGAACTAGATCAACGGTGCACAAGCACTGGACTGGTGGGCTGTTTTTGCTGGGCTCAATTGCATCCTCCATGTGGAGAGACAACCCAACACTGTTTAACTTTGAAGGAATAGATTGGTAACTCCACCGAATCCGTAGCACCTTCAATCCAGCTAATGTTGAGGCTATCGCCAAAATCTGACTCACGACAAGAAGAACAGATGATTTCCTTGCATGGCAACCAGAGAAGTCTGTAATGTTTTTGTGCAAAGCGCATATGACACAGCACTGCGGGAACAAATCAGAGAGGCAAATCCTACGGGTGATTTAGACACAGAATATGGAGCGCATTTTGAATCTTTCATTCATGAACACTTTCTTTCTATACCCTAAAAATCGGTAATGCTATGATTAGAGCATCCGGACACCGAGAGTCTCTCCGAACGCTAAGTGGTCTCACCGTGTCCACGTATTATTCACCGTAGGTGAAAATATTTGATACCTCCCCTCAAGTGGCTACTCAGACTTATCTTCTTCCCTTCCATCTCATCTCTCTCTCCTCCATATCTTCGTAAAAATCACAGAGCGTCACCGCTGCTTCCTTCCTCCACCTAAGTTGACCACACCGCCTTCTCCCTCAGTTGCACAGTGCCTCCCAAGCCTGTTCCCCATCCCAACATGATGCCTCATCGCTGCAAGGAGACGCCGCTGCCCCTAGCCGATGATCGCTGGGCACACGGGGGCAGGGCGCCTCTGGTCGTCCCCAGTCGAGCCAAGGCACCCACGAGCGCCACCGGTGCTGGTGGTTCTCGCGCGCAGCTACTCGCTGCTGGCTCCTACCCCGATGGTCGGAATTGACTAGCCCGGCCTCTCCCCTCCCCTATGTTGCAAATATAGGCTTCAAATGTTTTCATATGTTTAAGTGGTATATTGCAAATATTTCATATGAATATTGTAAAAGTAGATCGGGATGTTGAACATGCAGCAAGTGTTTCACAGGTATGTTGCAAGGTTTTATTGAAAAATGTTTTATCTATTTTCAGTTTTATGTTGCAGCAAGTGTTTTTTATGTTGCAAGTTACAAGTGTTTTATCTGGATATTGTATATGTTTTACATATATGTTGTAAGTGTATGTTTTAAATGTTGTTTCTATTTGAAACGTGTGTTGAGTGTTTAATGTTGTAAGTGTTTGATGTTCTACGTAAAGTCACGGGGGTGGGGTGCGCGTGCGAGGCGATGAATGGGGGCGTGCTGCGCGGGTGACGGATGGGAGCGAGCTCCTTGAAAGCCCGGTTACTTCTTACGCACACGGCAACCGTCCCATGCTAGCGTCCCGGAACGGGGACGTCCGGGCCCTACACTTCCCTAATAAAAATTCTCTCAATTCCGTTCATAGTTCCCTGCTTGAAAAGAAAAAGAAAAAGAGTAGCCGGCACTCCAGAAGGCAGGGGCCACCCTTCAGCGTCACGCACCCTTGGCCACACCGCGGCACCCATGGCCCACCCACATCTTCCACGCCACCACGACTCGACGAGAGTGAGGAGGGTTTAGAAGAGAGAGAGGAGAGCAATTAACGCTCCTCGGCTGTCGTCTCCCCCGAAACAGCAAAACCCACCTCCCTCTCCTCTAGCAGCGCCGGCGGAAACCCCAAACCCTCGCGGCTGGAGCCTCGCAGGTGAGCCGCGGCGCCGATCCTCCTCCTCCTCTCTCCCCTTTTCCCCAACCTGCATTTCGTCGGGAGGGGGTTTCGATTTTGTTTTCTCCGGGCGGAACCCGACTTTACGGCCCCCTTGTTTCCCCCCTTTTCGTTCGTTGCGCGTGATTTTTTTTTCTTTCCAAGATAAGAATCGCTTGTTCTGGGAGGTGGATGGCTCCCTTACCTTTTTCCCCGAGCAATCAAACCTAGATTTTCCTCCGCGGATGATAGATTTTTTTTGGATGCCCATGCCAAGCGTTAGGTCCGCCACTGGGCTCAGTTTTCGGTTCCGTAAGGGTTCCACCATTATAGGTTATGTAGAAATGTGTGTATTTAGACTAATCTCCTACGGAGTAGATGCGAAGGAATACCTAATACGCACTTACTTTGTTGCTGCTGGTTTGGGCGTTATGCTGATCATGCTTGTTTCACCTGGAATCAGTTGTTACTCCTGTTAGGTTATGTTACCTTTGCCTTCGAGTTGTCTGCATCTGTCACTGTAATCTCAATTTGCACAGTGATGAATTTCGCATATTAGTTTCTATAAGTTTTTTTTGTTTGCCTTTTGTAGTTAACTACTGTACCATTCACTGGTGTGCCTGTGCCTATGGCTCCTTTACTTATACGAATTTTTAATCAGGACCATTGTTCAATAGAATTTTCTTAGTTATGTTGTTACACTCCTGCTGTGGGTGTCCACATGGGTCTTATGCATGACTGCTCTGCTCTTGTCAGAATAAGAAATGGTTTTTGTAGATAGCAGCCCTAGTTTTTAGTTTGGTTCAGTATGGGTATTCTGTACTCACTGCATAAACAGATATTGTTTCCTTTGGGCTGATGCAGTCCTTAAGAGCTCAATTTCCTACCTTTTTCATCTGGCATCTGGGAACTGTGCGCTTGTCAATGCGCTAGACAGTTTCATGCAACAGAGTTCCCCCTTTGCTTGGTACAACCACGTCTTAATGTCATTGTTTTTTAGTTTTATCTTACACCTGAAATATTGAAGGAAATGGACATTATTGTTATATCAACTAATAAAACATATGACTTTGTAGCTCCACATGTGTGCACGTTAATTGCCATAGCTAAGTGTCATTACCCTTAATTGTTCTCACATTTCATCCCTTCAGGTAGTGTTACTCTCTTGCTTTCAACTTCTAATTGTTCAAAAATTCAGTCCTTCAGGTAGTTACTCCCTTGCTTCATTGTATTCTTGGTTGTATTCTCCTTATTCAGTGGTTTTTGCTAGATAAGCATACCCTGGCAATGGGTGCTGCTGGCAATGGCAGCAACCCATACTGTTCACATGTTGGAGAAAGAGATGACAAAAGTAGTGACATAAAATTAGGTCCAGATTTTACTGCAGCTGAAATGCAAGCGAGTCCTGTCAATGGTGATTTATCTTTGATTCATGTGAAACTGGAGCAGTCATGGTTAAGTGTACAAGCATTCATTGCTGAGCATGTGACCCCTAAGGATATTGATTTGGATTGGAGCAAGGAGGTTGTTGTTGGGCTGGATGGCTTCAGATATGTAGGCTGCAATGACCTAAGAGATGTTGTACTGAATAGTTTGCACATGTTCTTCAAGACTGCAGTTGATATCTTGTCCTGTCAAGGGTACACTGAGGATGCTGTTGTAAATGCTGTCGTGGACTCTGCACTCTGTTATCAGTTTGATGGACCTATCACTAAGATCGCTGAGCATGCACGCACATTGCTACAGAGTGGCAACCATTTGGTTGATCATTCCTACAGTGAGAATGTTGACACGGTTCTGCACATGTTGGGTTTGTATTTTCTTTGCAATGCATCAAGTTTGCTTAAGAAATACTGTCCATTTTTCACCTTGGGAGATGCATTGTGGTGCATTTCTGCTGTGTGACATGGATATATCTATAGCTCGTGCAGCTTTTGCTCCCATGAGTGGTTATGGGAATGGACAATCAGATGGCTATGCTCATTGTCAGAGTGACTTATGTGAAGGTCGTGAGAGTGTAAATGAGTTATCAGAAGAATATAGTTGCAGTGCCACAGAATCGCCTGCACTATTCGAGCCACCTCAATCTGAAGCAATAGAAATGACGTGGAGCAATTTTCTGACAAATTATATAGTTTCATTTCAAAAGTTTGGAGGGAAAAACCAAGGTGCTCCTTCTGCTCAAGATGAAAATTCTCCTTCAGTGCCTAGGGCTGTTAACAAAAAGGAAACTAAAGGCAAGCGTAGTAAGACAAATTCCATGAAATCTCAGAAAGACTCAGGGAAGGATTTGGTCGTTTTCAAGAACATCCCACAAGTCAAGGGTATTATAAGTAAAACATCATTAAGAATGCTAAAAGAGAATAAAACATTAACGGCGTTCCTTGCATCTGCGCATAGCACTTTGGCAGGCACTTCAGAGGTAGCCAGTGAAAGGGACTCACAAACATCCATGTTAGTTCCAACTAAACCTCGTTCTGGATCTTTCTCGGTCAAAAAAGGATATTCTCCAGCAGTGGTTTCAATTGGATCACTTTCTTATCCTCCTAGCTGTTCCTCCAACTCATCATCTAGTGCAATGGGCAAGGCAGAGCCTAGGCAGCGAATGGAACCTGGTGTTGTACACTTCTCTCTCCCAAATACTCCTGCAGAGGGCTTTGAATTTCATTTCTCACGTGAAGGCTTGCAGACCACTTGGGTTCCAAAAGATAGAAAAGAGGAGCTAGCTCTAAAACTAGTCCAGCGCTTGGGTGAGTTAAAGCTGGAGGTGCAAGTTTGGACAGATTGGGCTAATGAGAGGGTGATGCAGTCAACAAATAGGCTGGTAAATGAAAGGACTGTACTTTTCTCTCTTAAAAAGGATAAGGCAGACTTTGAAGAGCCTAATGTGTTTACAAGAAAGAGGCTTGAGGAGACACAAAGGGCAATAGACAGTACTTCTTGTGAGCTTGATCGTGTTAATTCCCTTGTCCAGGAGCTTACAGATAAGATTTCGCTTTGTAGGCATGGAAGAAAGCTGTCCAGCTACAGGGAGAGCAATCTGATGCAAGTTTGGCTAGCATTTTAAGCAAGAAAACTGAGGCCGTGAACAGACTGAAGTCCATGGAGACAGAGAAGATCCTTTTGCAGGAGGAGATTGCTGCTGAAAGGAGTAAACTATCCAAGCTTCTGCAAAGTCTTGAGCAAGCTAGAAGACATGAAGACGTATTAACGGTATTCCAATTTGATCAACCTTGTGTCTTCAAATTTTCTATTGTCATGTACACGCTATTTTGTTGGCTTTCTTATAGTCCCCTTATTTGTTTATATGACTGTACATGGTCTCCAAATACAATTTTCACAGCTACTTTGTACCTGAGAATACCAGTCAAATTTTCTAAATTTTTACGTTGTGAAAATGTAAATCCAAGCAGTTTATTTGTAATTAGTGCTTAATGGTCAAAGTGTTAGATTTTTTTTTACTGCATGCTTTCTAAAATGACCAAGATCTATGAACTGATGGGATAATTTTATTAACAATCCAACTGAATTTTCGATCACAAAATCCTATTTAGTTTGATAGATTGGTTGTCTATTTTTCAAAATATGTTGTGTTGAATGATTTTCTGCATATGAAATGTTTGCCCATTTATATCCACAATATAATATATATGTATGTTTTTTGTTTGGTGATATCGTTTTCTGTCTGTAAAATGAATATTGACACGAAACTACAATTATGTTTTCCTAACTAACTTTGGGAACTTGTCTTAACAAATTCTATAGAAATGTGCATTTCCTCATTTGGGACCCCAGGATTGCCAGGATCTATCTGTTTTTCTTTAGGATACAAAAATAATGACACACATACTATGGTCTTTGCTACCATGGTGCTTGAGATGTCACGTTTATCAACAACTACATAAATACATAATGTTCGTTCATTGATTATCTGGACCCTCTGGGCCTCACTTAGCTCTGCTCTCGGCATTATACTTCTTGTGTCATCATGCTGGTCACACTTTCTGATTTCAACTGCCTAACGCATGTTATGTGGACAACGATTGGATGATTACCAGCACTAACCTTTTGTTGACGCTTAGATGAAAAATCTCAATATTTGACATTACTTTGCTTGTACATAGCCTACCATGAGTTAATGCTGTTGCCAAGCTTTTTATTCATTTCCCTTAATTTGTTTATGTACCTGCCCAAAGACTGCTTTGTGACCTTTGGCCGTAAACACTACAGAAAAGGTGCCAGGAAGGAGAGAAGATGATAGATGCACTTATGAAGCAGGTTAACTTTGAAAGAACTGAGCTTGAGAGGATTGAGACATCAGGAAGAGCAAAGTATAGCCATCTGTTGCTGAAAGCGCGCAACGACCAGGAATGGCTGCAGACCAGTATCAAGAATCTGACACAGCAGATAGGTGAAATGTCTAGCAGAAGCAAGCCTCTGAGCATCACAAACTTCATGGGCCGTCCAGGTTTTGTGATCGATTCTGTACAGCGGGAGCAAGAATGTGCCATGTGCTTGGAAGAGGAGGTTTCGGTGGTTTTCCTCCCATGCGGGCATCAGGTTGTTTGTGCAGGCTGCAACCAACGCCATCGAGATGGGGGCATGACCGAATGCCCATCCTGCAGATCTCCCATAAAGCGTAGGATCTGTGCTCGCTTTGCCGACAGTTAAGGTGAATGTAAATCCTGGAAGAATCATAGGAAACCTTTTGCCTTCGTTTAGAACAACCATTGTCCAAAACTGAATTAGAGCCAACGAGCAGTGTAGGCGCGTTTCTCATCTCTCTGAGTCTTGACCTCGGTTGCTTTTGGGGAAAATACAGTTGGAAACGATGCTCGTTCTTCAATGCTAGTTTTAAGTAGGGTTGGAATGCTACCTTGTCAACCATTACCATATAAATGTTAGCATGGTTGGGAAAAAAAAAACTTCTATGCTATACGTAAGTATGACGTGGAATGTCTGAGGAAGCACATTGGTAATAGGGGAGTTATCAGGTGCGGAAAACCCAATATATATGTGTGTGCTATGTGTGGTGATTTGCTGTTTCTGTTCCCACATCATATGTCTTTTGATACTCTGACGTGGGTGAGGTTAACTGCACATATCTTCTCGCGAGTTGACATTTGCATTCTTTACTGGTGAGGTGCAGCGAGAAGCTGGCGCGGTTCGATGAAACTTTCCAGGGGTTGCTGTGCTCATGTGGTCCTCCGTCTAAAACAAGTGCAAGAAGAATTTTAAACGACGTGGTACTCTTAAGATGGCGGCCTATCGATTGATGATGATCACAAATATATGTGAATTAGTTGTTACCATGCATGAAGTTGAGGTACTATTCTGTTTCAAAAAAGCAAGTCCGAACTCTGAGAGTTAAAACTAACTAATGTTTTAGCTGTGTCCTGCCCATCAATTCAGATAGCTGGCTAAGTTACAAATGTTTAGTTCAGAGTAGATGACTGGGTGAAGTACATCTTGTGTTCAACATATGCACCGCTAAAAGTTTTCTTGCTTGCTTGAGACATCAAATTGGTTGTACAATAGAAATTAACCAAGAAGATTGGTTGAAGAAGATTGTTTGTGATAGCAAATTAATTGGTTGCAAATCCAGTATTTGATGGCTTCTGGTGCCATCCTTTAGCAGAAAAAACCTACCTCATCAAGCAGATTGTCATGCCTTTCGGGGTGTTGGGTCCATGTTCATGGTGTTACCGTTTTGTCGGGCCAAACTGATATCTAATTCCAGTTTTTGTTAAAAACTGATATGTTTTTGTGGTCTTTTGAATTTATTTATTTAATTATCCAAAAGCCACAAAATGTCCAAGTTTAGGTTGTGCGGGATTTTGCAGTTTGTGTTTGAATACACATATGTCTAGGCATGTCACTTCTTGTTTTACGTCAATCTCCTAGGATTGTCAAACAAACGCCTTACTTGGCGACTACTAGGAGCAAACTCATCCAAAGTCAAAGTCAAGGTTAAGTCATCGGACCAAAAAGACTAGTCCCTTAGTTTTGATTAAATCTAAGCATACATCCCAGTTAGTAATTTGATGTCCATTCGGAAGATATTTTATCATATATCAAATGTTTTGGCATCTTATTTATCATAACACACAAGCATTCATGAACACTCGTGTAATAGTGACGATTGGCTATAAACAGAATGTTAAAACATCACGTCTAAAATATTAATTTTTTTCAGTAACGATACAATCGCACGTTCAAATATAATCTTATAGTGATTATTAGAACGGATGGAGTGTACTGTGGTGGCGTTTGGATGGCTATGAGTATGGGATATGAATATGGGGATGGATAAGATGAGATGGGTTAGGGAAAGGGATAATCATGTTTGGCATAGACTGTCTCCAATAAGTGACTTATATGGGCATTCAAATTCGTGATCCATATGGGCATTCAAATTCAAAATGGATAGTAAGAGATCTAAAATCAGGCTTCAACAGAGTACCTATACGGAAGACACATTTTAGGTTGTTTGAGAGGCACAACCCAAATATAAGTATCATCTCTCCTAAAAACCCATTTGCAAAAATAATTTTCTTTTAGGTCCCGTTTTTGGAGAGGATGTCGAATGGGTATTGAACCCTTTGACTGTAACGCTACTCAAATGTTGAATGGGTCTTGTATTTTGTTGTTGTTGTTGTTGGAGATAGTCTTATTTGTGTTTGGGTTTTGCCGTGGGACCCACGGCTTATATAATAAATAAAACAAAAAACAACGTCCTTATCCTTCTTCCCCTCCGCCCGGCTCTTCCGTCCCCAAATCGGTTCGATGCAGCCGCATCTGTTCTTCGTCCCGCTCGTCGGAGCAGCCAGCAAAGAGTGCCTCCTCCGTCCTGCTTGCTAACAAGAAAGAAGCCTTGCTCTGGTGGCTTCGTGCGGGGCGACTGACCTGCAGCGCCGGCGCCTGGCGGCCCGTGCGGTGGCTTCGGTGTCCTTCGAGAACGGAGCTCCGAGCCTTCTCCGCTCGGCGCGGCGCGGACGGACCTCAGACCTCCTTCGCTCGGCGCGGCGCGGGCGGAGCTCAACATCCTTCCCCGCCCGGCGACACGGCGCAACCTTCTCCGCTCGGCCTTGACACCGATTCAGTCATCATCACCACCGCTTAGCACTAATCATTGCACTTAAACTGAATCAATAGTGCCATGGCACCTTTTAATGACTCATTGAATGTCTAAAATAACTTATCCCTGCCTAGACATCACTCTTCCCCAGCTAGATAACTTTTGACAGGCATCAGTTAGCTAGTTGGTCTATTATCGGCACGCTAAGCAAGCCACAGGAAAATTTCCTTTAGCTTAGACCTTATGTTTTCCCTACAGGAAAGCTCACCATTGCTTAGGAAAGGAAATCGCCAATTCTCCAATCCAAACAGCAAGACTTAAAAATACTACACAGAAATAGATTTCTTTGAAATTCCTTATCCAAACAACCCCTTCGTCCGGATGAGATAATCCTCTAATTTCTCTAACCCACTCCTACAATATATCCCTTTCCCACTGCCCAAAACATAGGTTAGGGTTTTACTTGTTAGATTGATCTCCCAGCCAATAAGCCTAACGACCTATTGGGCTTTGGTCACGCGCCCTGATCGGGGGCACCCAACCCTACATGGTTGGTGGGCCCCCGTCGCATCTGGCTATATAAAGAGGTGGGGCCGGCGGCTCGAGGTACGAGGTTCACCGTGAGCCGCAAACCCCACCGACAAACCCTAGACCGATCTAAGAGGGCGCTGCTTGTGAGCGACGGAAGCTCCAATCGACTTCGCCGTCGTCATCATTTATTCTGTCTCGTCTCGTCTGCCTTGCATCGACGTCCGTGCCACCTCTACTCCACCCGTCGCTGCCCGTGTGCTGCCTCCATCACCGAAGCTGAGATGGCCGGCTCCATGACTCCCTCCGAGGGCTCAGGTTCAACACCAACATCTCTCTCTTTATCTCTCCGATCTTTCCCCTCTATTCATCCCGTATTCGAAGGAACAAACCCTAGATCTACTGCTAGAGATCTAACTGAACTTAACATAACTCTCCCCTCCTGTCCCATACCCACCCCTGATTTCCCCCATCCCAAACGCCACCTGTATGTTTTTGTCTAGGTTGATTGATGATTATTACCCTGTCATAATGCAACGTGATCACAGGATCGAGAAATAGACGGCTGAGATTCACCGAGCCGCCGCTTCGGTTCCCCTCTAAAACCCTAGAAATCAACCTCCCCGTTCCACTTCCTGCCGTCCTCGCCCGCGCCCGTTCCCCGGCCCTCCTCCGTCCTCCGCACCTCCACCACCTTCCCCGCCGCCATGGGCCGCAATCTCGACGCCGAGCAAGCGGAAGCACCCAGGAGCAGCAAGAAGGAGAAGAAGAGCAAGAAGGACAAGAAGCGGAAGCTGGCAGCCGAGGCCGAGGACGAGGCGGCGGCGGCGGTGACGGCGACAGAGGAGGCCGTGAAGAGCAGCAAGAAGAAGAAGCGGGTCGAGAATGGACCCGGCGCAGGAGGAGGAGGGGAGATGGAGAACGGCGCTGAGAAGGCCGTGGCGGTGACCGGGAAGGGCTCCGAGGACCCCAAGTACGCGCCGCTGCGGTCGTTCTCCGCGGCCGAGCTGCCGTCCCAGGTGCTCGAATGCTGCAGCACGTTCGCGCGGCCGTCACCCATCCAGGCACACGCCTGGCCGTTTCTCCTCGACGGCCGCGACTTTATCGGCATCGCCGCCACCGGATCCGGTACAGCAAAGATTATTTGATTTCTGCTTTCCGTTTGGTCATTCCTTTGCAGACCCGTGCTCAAATTTGTGATAAACTTTGTTATCACGTCATTTGGGTACTGCCAGGGAAGACAATTGCCTTTGGCGTGCCGGCACTGATGCACATCAGGAAGAAGGTAGGGGGGAAAGCAGGGAAGAAGGCCGTGCCGCGGTGCCTCGTGCTATCACCAACGAGGGAGCTCGCTCAGCAGGTAAGCTAGTGAATGTTGCTTTTTTAATTACAATACTCGAGCATGTCATGCAAATTTTGGTAAATGCTTGTTGATTGCTGTGGTGTTGAATAAGTTGCTTTAGCTTCAATTTTCAAGCAGAACATGTACACTAAAGATAACATGAGTGACTTACATTACATATATGCTTCTATGTGGCACCAAATAAGTTGTATCACTGCTCGTGCTGCTAACTTATAGAATGATGACTCTTTGAAGCTTTTCTTATTTGACAATCTTTTCTGTAATAATCATTACTTACCATCATGCCCAGTTGGTTTTCAAGCTTCTATTGCCGTTTGAAGTTTGTAGCCTGATTTTTCCAAGAAGATTCTGGCATTGATAGCCATTTTTTTCATGGGAAAGAGAGGCATAATAATTCTTTTACATTTTTCTACAAAAATGTGCGTGTAATATCCTGTTTGGTGTGTGACATGGGAAAACTATTCATAGTAATCTGTAAGCTTGATCATGAACAAAAACAATATGGTTGAATGTGAACATACAAGAATGATTTACACATTTCTGTATTGTGCCAGATTGCAGATGTACTTAGTGAGGCTGGTGCACCATGTGGGATAAAATCAGTCTGTCTTTATGGTGGAACTAAAAAGGAACCCCAAATATCTGCCCTTAAATCTGGAGTGGTAAGATAACACCGATTTCTTTTTTTTTTCTCAGCCATGGTTCATATAATTGTATTGAATACTGATTAAATTCTGAGCTTCTGATATCGTTGCATACCAAATCATTACGGTAGCACATTCTTTTTCATGGATTTCACTTAATGGAAACTCGAAATGCTTCTTTACTATATAGTTCATACAACTATTCCTTGGCATGTCAGTATTTGACAGTTAACTTGTGTAAATAAAAACATGTTGTTGCCTAACCCTCTATTCATTCTTTTTTGGGGTTTTGTGCTTGCAGGATATAGTCATAGGAACTCCTGGTCGTATGAAAGACCTTATTGAAATGGGTGTTTGCTGTCTTAATGAGGTTTCGTTCGTGGTAAGCCAGTTGTGCCTTCCTTTTTGCTATTCTTGTTGTCTATGAAGTGTGGTGTGCATGGTATATATATTCTCTCCAGTCAAAATGCAGTGCTCTGGACAGCAACAGGGTCACCAAGTTGCAACTTTGATTACTAATTCACCATCCCTTGGTTCTTTTGTATTTGATATTCTAAATTCGAGCAAGTCAGACCTTTTCATGTTTGGCATGATATGCTAAAACTATGTAGATTGTCTATATGAAAGGTACACCACTTGTTTTGTAGTGAAAAGTAGTTCCATAGTTTAGTGTGTGTGTTGGGTGTGTCTGGGAGTGTTGGGTGTGTCTGGGAGTGGGCATTTTGCCTGTACAGCTTATAGTTTTTATCTTAATGAATGACATGCAGCTCTTCTGTGTTATTGAGAAAAAAACTACCCCTCCATCCCAAAATAAGTGACGTTTTTTACTTCGAGACTTCTTGTTTGACCATTCGTCTTATTCAAAAAGTTTGTATAAATATTATTTATTTTGTTATGACTTATTCTATCATTAGAGATACTTTAATACTGACTTATTTATTTTATTATTTACACAAAATTGAATAAGACGAACGGTCAAACAAGAAGTGTAAAAGTCAAAATTGTCACTTATTTTGGGACGGAGGGAGTAGGCATTAATACTAACTCGATGAAAAGGACATTTGGAGTGACATCTTGGACACACAGAGATTGTGGGAAGTAAAGACCATTTTGAGAGTACTTTCTGGGACATCTACATATTTTGTTTTCATGTCTAATCTAAACATATAACTTATAATAATATAGGTGAATTTAAAAAGTTGATTGCATGCCCCCTTGAAACACCCTTATGTAATACTCGTTTCCTGTCTTGTTTTGTATTTTCTTCCTGCTCTTATCCCATCCTTCTCGTTTCCCCCTTTATATTCTACAGGGTGTGTATGTTTTTTTTCTTAATATAATGATGGGAGATTGTACTGCCGGTTTGAAATACCCTCATGTAGTAGTTGCTTACCTAGAGCTTGTACTTGGCTGATGTTCATGTGCTATTTGTTTTTGTTGAAACTTGATTTTAAGTAATTTTTGAAAGTTCACACCAAACATGCATATATCATCTCCGCACACAAATAGTACTCACCAAAGATTACTTACTGTTCATTTGTGTTATTGCAAAGCGCCAGTAGCTTTCCTGAAAGATTAGAAGCACAAGATGTGCATATCCAGAAAAACAAGTGTACCATTTGGCTTTAGATTGCTTATGAATGTGCATGTTCTGGTTGCTTGTTGTATCAAATATATTTTGTGTGGAATATTGTTGTTAACAGTACCATACAATTTTCAATTGGAGGTTGTCGCTCCATTGAAATTATTTATATGGTTCGCGAGATGACTAAAAAAATGGATATGGGGAACCATCCACTGAGAATGGTACATGGCACTTCGATTTGCCTTCTACCTAGGTATGGCATCCTAATTCCTATCAGCTAACTGTGAAGCTTGGTACACACTCTTGAGATCATTTGATGCTTCATTTTAAATCTCAAGGAAATTACCTGATAGACTTTGATAAGCAGTAACAATTAGTTGAACATGGCACTTCCCACAGACATGGAATCCAATCTTCCTTAAATTATACCTCCTTTTGTTTTGTCTGTGTAGCCTGTTACACACTCATAGTGTCATTTGGTGCTTCGTTTTAAATCAAAGGAAATTATCTGGTAGAATTAATACTAATAATAGTAACAAATTAGTTGAATGTAGCATTTCCCACAGCCATTCATCCCAATCTTCCTTACCTTATCCCTCTCTTTCTGTTCTGTTCAGGTATTTAGGTCTAAGAACCTGCTGTCAAGATAATAAGATAGTAGTAAAATGGATTAGCATATTCTCTGGCATCAATCACCTCAAATGTTTCTTGGGACTACTGCTGTGCTTACACTTTCATGGTTATGCTTTAATAATTAATTATTGTGTTCCCTGTTGTTGATGGACTTATTATGGTGTGATAGATATTCTTACTGTTTTTTTTTTTTTGGCATAGGTTCTAGATGAAGCAGATAGGATGCTGGATATGGGTTTTGAACCTGAAGTCAGGGCAATTTTGAGCCAAACATCATCTGGTTTGTATCCATTGCTTTCTCTTCCCTCTACCAATGCCCGTGTCAGTGTGTTCACGCCTGTTTAGGCAGAAGCAACAATATATATATATTTTTACCAGAATAGAGTGAAAATCAACATTCAGATTAGGATTCTTTGTACTGTGATTGTGAGGTTTTAGTGGATTTTAAAGCTGTCAAGGCCCTTGGTGTCGCTATTTTTTTTTGTTCACTATGTGCTTACTACAAAGTATAAATCTTACTGTTGATGCTATGTAATGCGATCTGCGCAACTTGGATGGTGTCATAGTTATTTGAACAGCACCTTCTATTTTAACTTATTTGTGTTATCGTATGAATATGTCCTTTTTCTGCATTTCTCTGCTGCATCCTTGACCTCAACCCTTCAGTTCTCTATAGGATGACGCATATTAGCCCAGGAGTTTATGTTATTTCTTATCTGTGTTATTTCTCATGCAGTACGTCAGATGGTTATGTTCAGTGCAACTTGGCCTCTTGCTGTCCACAAATTAGCCCAGGAGTTTATGGATCCAAATCCAATAAAGGTTGTGCTGTTTTTGTCTGTTTTTTTTTTCTTGCTTTCAAACAAGTACCTGGGCTGACAATCTTTTCAATGTCTCACTGCAGGTTGTTATTGGATCAGAAGATCTTGCTGCTAACCATGACGTGATGCAAATTATTGAAGTATTGGATGATAGAACACGAGATTCAAGATTACTTGCCTTGCTTGACAAATACCATCAAGCACAAAGGTAGATATCAGTTAGATTTCACTTTCTGCTGTATTTAAGATTCATTTCCTTAAGGCACTGATTCCCGTTGGCACACTGGAAGCTAAGCATTTGGGTAGGTAATAGACTAATACTCAAGCAAATATATATGAAACTTGATTATATGATTTTTTTATCGTATGAAATTTGGTTATAAATGGTGAAATTGGCGGTCTGCTTGAAACTCATCAATATAAGTAGGCTAGGTTCCAAGATTTGTTCGAATAGAACAAAACTAAATAATTTTTTTATGAAAGTGCCTCAGTAGGATTAGAACTAATTCACAAGTGTAAATTATGAAAATATTATTGCAATTTGTAGTTGCAGAAAACATCCAGGTAGCTTTGGCCTTTGGATGTGGCACAAGTGTCTCGGCACAACTGCAGGTTTTATGTACCTTAAGTTCTCCAGAAGCCTACTTGATCTGATATGCTGGTCCTACTTGAACCATGCCAATGGCTCACTTGAGAGTGGCTTGCATTGGAATCAACATGTCAGGATTGGGGCAAGTTGTGGTTTTGTGGAACTGAACATTAAACATGAAGTTACATACTTACATAGTTACATGTGACAAGCATTGATACCAGTGATTTTCTGTGCCTATAATACAAGTTTTCTCACGTTGTTGCTACAGAAGATCACAAATGTTTTTATTTGATATCCATATCGACAAACAGTTGTGGTACCTCAATCTTTGCCCGTCTGCCTTGCTTCATCTACATTAGCATCCAAAACCTGATGTCCATCATTGCTGCTTCCTCTAGATTTGTATCCTAGATCTTGGAAACACTACTGGTTGATGCGTGTGGCAATGTTTCCTATTCCCATTAACTACCTACCAATGCCAAACATTGCTTTGTACCGCTCAGAACTAAAGGCTATTTGGAGAAACACACTTGGCGATTTGATTATAGCCACTGGAATATGTTACACGTACATGTAGTGTACATGGTTCTGTTCTGCTGACACTGACATAGTACAATCCCTGTCACTGTCCTGAATCCTGATATGATCTTTTCAAGCCACCTCATCCTTTCCATGTATCATGCCTAACATATCAGAGCAATGTTATTCAATGCCTTTTCTTTTCATTATTTGCAGGTTAAATTATAGCATATCTTAGATAGGATATTTTGTTTTCCATATTACTCTACCCATCTTTGCATTAGCTGTGTTCTACCATTGCCCCCTAAAACCCTTTTTTTACACAAACGAAGTTCTAATGGCGATCTTATTTTATCCTTGGAGCCATATAGTTATTATTACTCATCTTAGGAAGTTGTACTTGTGTTCAATGCAACAGCAACAGGGTTTTGGTTTTTGTGCTGTACAAGAAAGAAGCTGCACGAGTGGAAACAATGCTTCAGAGAAGGTAGCAGATTTGTTTTCATTTCTTCAATTTAATCTCTGAACAATATTTTTCTCCATATTTTTAATCTGTATATGTTCTGAAGGGGATGGAAGGCTGTTTCAGTCCATGGAGACAAGGCTCAGCATGATAGAACAAAAGCTTTATCTTTATTTAAAGAAGGGAAATGCCCTTTAATGGTGTGTTTTTTCTATCACTTCTGTATAATACTATAATTTATTCAGGTCTGATAGTCCAATTGTAGATATGTATGGACTTTGCTTTTTAGATTTGGTTTGCTGTTTACTTTATGAGTTAAACCTGAAGACATCTGAGGCATTTTTTGTTTCTTTTCCCAACCTTGCCCATAGACACACCAGCTTTGCTAGGCAAGATTTGGCAAGGCAAATCTTGCTAGTGGAGGAAATGCATGCTTAGTAGAGTAATATGATGTACCAATGGGATTTATGACTGAATATTGTGCTGTGATTCTGTGGTTGAAAGTTTAGAGCAGCTAGTTATGCTACCTTGTAATCTCAGTTTTACTATTTAACGATCCAATTTAATGAAATCTAGGTGTTTTATTTAGTGATTCAAAACATTGAAGAAACATGCGGTAAAACCATTGTACTTTTCTTTTGTGACGTGGTGAATCTTAGGTCAATGAAAACATTTTTGCAAGAATGCAGATTCTTCAAAATATCTATCGCACTCTGAAATCACGTGGAATATTTGAGGGTTTCTGATTTTTTGTTTTTGGTTTTTGCATCTATGACTTTTCAAGTTTTCATCTTAGGACCATTTATCTTGCATTTAACATCATTCTGCCAAGCTCTCTTATTTGTGTTTCTAGTTTAGACGACAATGCTATTGTTTGTTTCATTTTGCACTCTTTTTCTTTTGTAATACATGCAGATTGCTACAGATGTCGCTTCACGTGGACTTGATATTCCTGATGTTGAAGTTGTCATTAACTATAGTTTTCCTTTGACCACTGAGGATTACGTCCACAGGATAGGAAGGACTGGTCGTGCTGGCAGGAAAGGTGTTGCACATACCTTTTTCACTCAAGCGAACAAGGTACTTGAGTCATTAAGTCATTATACCCTTTTTGCACTTGATGCCTTCAGTTGTTGATGTTATGTTAATTTACAGGCACTTGCTGGTGAACTTGTGAATGTTTTGCGGGAGGCTGATCAGGTTGTTCCTCCAGCCCTTATGAAATTTGGCACACATGTCAAGAAAAAGGTTTGTATTTAGCTGTTTTTTTTGTCTGAAATTATCTTCTGTTCATATGTCTAGTCCATATCTGATTGTGTAGGTATGGATGTCTAGCAAGTAGCAACATCAGTAAGAGTACAGAAAGAAATACATTTGAAAATGCACGCAGTCAGAGAATACATTCTCAAGAAATCACTTTGATGAGATTGTCCTGTCTAGTTTTAAAGCCTTTCTGTTGTTGCAAATGTACTGCAAATGTGTGGAAATTGGTGGTCGCATTTGCTAAAATATGCTTAAGGTGCTCTTTAAAACAAAGACAAAAACTATTAGGGAGAAGGGATATAAATTATTCTCTCTCTAAATTCAAGAACTAACCTGGCTTCCTGACTGACATGAAAAATAGTAAAATACAAATACATGTGAAATGACTGTCCATACTCCATAGCCCTACTAAATAACATGATACAACCACATTTGTTCTTTCAATGCATTAGGTTTTGGGAGTGGAATATTTGCAATGGCTACACTATTGTTTTTTCTCATTTGCCGAACGTTGTGAAACTTAATTCTACTATGACCATGGACAAAGTAGAGAATCTCAGGGATTAGTAAATTGTGATTCTGCAGCCTGCACAGTTCACCAAGTTTTTTTTTTGTTTTTTTTTTTGCATCTTTGCATTTTTTTTTTTTTTTGCGCCACCGCGAATGAATTTGATTTTTTTTTTTTTTTTTTTTTCGAATTTTGTTTCTAACTTAAACGCCTGGTTCTCATAGGACTTTTAGCACATCTCAATTTTGATAGAACATGCCCTGCCATTTTTGAAATATCAGACGGTCTATTTGCTTCCCTATGAAAATGTCAATTACTGGATAAGGATATTTGTAATGACAGAAAACTAGAAATCATAACACTTGTGTACCCCATATAAAAAATATGAAGGTCTTGGTTGGTTCATCGACATCTTAAGTTTTCAGCATCAAAATTCGCTATGTATATTAATGAAAAGATTCATGTATGTGATATCATGCAACATACGTAACTCTTTCTGTCCAAAATGATGTGGCTGGGTGAGTTTCTTAGTATCATGGTATTTAGAGACCACTTTTTTGTAACTATAACTATAATTCATGTGGTACTAATATTAAACGTCCATAGACAGCAAAGGTGTTTAAACATATACTCTGGTTGTTCTGTAAGATCTCTTTGTTCAAAATTCATGTCTCTAGATAGAGCTAGATGCATATAAAATGGAAGTTGGGGTCCTGCTACGGGGAGCCAAGATCTAGTCTGTGTGGACAGCAGGGACTGATGATGCTACCTTGCAGAGTTCGGTCACAGTACAACTTAGTCACCCAGAACCATGGGGATGGGGTGCATGCAAAAACAAAGATTTTGTATGTTGGAAACATATTTTCCTTTGTTTCCATCTTGTGGACATGGAAGCACACTAGTAGAAAGAGAAGAGAGTGGGAATGCAGATTGCAAAATTTTGGTTCTGTGAATGTTTGAGAGCCTATTACTTGACTCTTTTTTTTTTTAAAAATTGAGCCTCCTTGCTACTGACACAGTACAAATGAAAAGAACACTGCACGAGATGAAAAGGAGTACTAGGGTGGGTGGACTTTCCAGATACTCTGAAAGGGCTGTAGTTTCAGTGATACTAATAGTTTTCAGAACTATATGTTTTCTTGTATCCAGATGCATCTTAATCTAAGTAAACGTTTATTTCTAGAACTCTAGTATCATCTGTTGATTTAAAATTATAAAAGCTGTTATCCTAAAAAGCCCTATAGTTTAGACAGAGAGAATGCTTTTCAGAAACTGTAAATGTTAGTAAAGGCTCGATTTACTACAATCGAACAGAATAAACATTAAAGTAGTTTGCATATGGGTGATTTATGATAAATGGCCTTTAATTTATCGGCTGCCATTTTTTTTTGCAGGAATCTAAGATATATGGATCTCATTTCAAGGAAATCACAGCAGATGCTCCTAAACCCACAAAGATCACATTTGGTGATTCTGATGAGGACTGATATAATGACAGCTTACTGATTTTTCATCCCTGCTTATGGAAGCTTGATTTCTCGGTTGACGATGGTATGGATATAATCAGATCAGTCATTTGGAAGCTGATTGCTGCTATGGATGGCAATCCTAAAATATAGCTCTCATGTTTTAGGTTAGTTTATTATTTATTATGAGCAGCATTCGGTATGTTTTTCTGGACCGTCAGCATTAGCATTAGCTTGGCTGTGTGTACCATAATTAGCAGCATTCTGCTTATTATGAGCTGCATTCTCGTGGAGAGTAGTTAAATTCAATGTGTCCTTAGTACAAGCAGCTTGGTTATGGTAATGATGGGCTGGTTATAGGAAAAAACAATATGGTTTTCCTTGTTATAGTAAAGAAAAAAAAAGATGGTTTTCCAGTCTCTGCTGGATTGGATATTTGGGTTCTATGTTTTGTGTTGGGTTTTGATTTGGCTCCTTGTGTTTGAATCAACTTTGTGTTTCCACATTGTGAACCGACCGGTGCTGTTGGTAAGTTAGCCCCAGGCTCTACATGGAGTTCAGCTCCGCATAGTTTTTGGTGGCAATAGGTATAATAAACTTAAAAGAGTGTCAGGTTGGAGTTTGAAGCCTATTTTTGTTTCTTGTGCTGTGTTCTTTAGTCTCTCTTGTGGTGAGATGCATTCATGCATCACATATAGTGTACGCTGTGATTGTTAATTGCGCAGCGAGTTAAGCTGCATACTTTCAGCTGTCTTGATGCTTACTCTGCAAGTTGCTTCTGTGTTGCATGGTTACTGCAGTCTGCGGCCTAAAGTTTGGACTAGTGGGACGGCCCTGTTTATTCACATGTTTAACCATAATTATCATTTGTCACCAAGGCGTTTTGATAGACCCGGTTTCAGAATGTTTGATGATTGTGAGTTTGCCACCAGCAGTGCAATGGTTGTCAACATCGTATCCAACTATACTTTATATTTGAGATCACAGCATTTCTTGACCACTCAAGTAGTACGTGAGTGCCTGTGCCTGTGCCTGTGCCTGTGCCTGTGCGTCGATATCACGCAGGCAGTGCCATGATGTTTCAGCTGGTGACCACAAACGGGCTGCGGACCAAGTGCTTTCCATCTGACCATGTTATGGAGCCCGACAGGGCGCCCTTGGCCGCCGTGTTGTCGTCCCCATCGTCGTTCTCAAGCAATGCATTTGGATTCACTCTCAATCTCACAAAGATGATGAATCTATAATGGAGATGAGTAGGAGGGCTTTGGCTAAGCTCACAAGGTTGCTATGTCAATGCAAATGGCGAAGAGAGTGAGCTTGAGTCGGTCATAGGGCTTAAATAGAAGCCTCTCACGAAATAAAGCCGTTGTACCCTTTCACTGGGCACTGTTCGGGGTGACCGGACACTCCGGTCATATCGATCGGACGCACCCTACCAGCGTTTGGTCAACGGATGACTGTCACATTATCCCTCTCTTCAAATACTGAGTGCCCGATCCCAATGGTCCAGTGATCACTGGACGCGTTGCTCGAAGTGATCGGACGCACCAACACCATCGTCCGGTCATTTCCAGTAAGGTTCCAGAGGTGACCGGACGTGTTCGGTTATGCCCGACCGGACTCACCCAACGTCCGGTCATACACTGTCTCCTCTGTGCGCTGCCACGTCAGCGGGACCGGACGCACCCATCCAGCGTCCGGTCACGAAGTGACCCAACGTCCGGTCGAAGACCGACGCCAGCGTCTTCATTGCTTCCACTGACCGGACGCTCCGGTCCAGTTGAAACCAGCGTCCGGTGCACTCTGTGAAACCCTGTCTTTTCTGTACAGGGCGCCGGTGGCACCATCGGACTATCCGCACTCTACGGACGGACATTTCGCCGGTGAAGTTTCTTACCCTTGCTCCCAAGTGCTAACCACTTAGTGTATCACCTTGTGCACATGTATTAGCATATTTTCACAAATATTTTCAAGGGTGTTAGCACTCCACTAGATCCTAAATACATATACAATGAGTTAGAACATCTAATGGCACTTTGATAACCGTATTTCGATACGAGTTTCACACCTCTTAATAGTATGGCTATTGAACCTAAATGTGATCACACTCGCTAAGTGTCTTGATCACTGAAACAAAATGGCTCCTACCATTTATGCCTTTGCCTTGAGCCTTTTGTTTTTCTTTCTTCTTTTCCAAGTCCAAGCACTTGATCATCACCATGTCAACACCATTATCATGTCATGATCTTTATTTGCTTCACCACTTGGAGTAGTGCTATCTATCTCATAATCACTTTGATAAACTAGGTTAGCACTTAGGGTTTTATCAATTAACCAAAACCAAACTAGAGTTTTCAAGTGAGCTTTGCTAAGCTTCTCATGGGATTCTATTTGCCTCTCATGAGTGGCATTAAGCTCATCAAAGAATTGCTCAAGAAATTTGACTTTCTTACGCAATTCTTTGCACTCCTTTCTCTTTATCTCAAAGTAAGTGTGCACTTGCTCACATATGTCCATGAGCTCCTCCTTGGTGTACTCCTCCTCCTCATCATCATCACTTCTACAAGCATCACTTTCGCATTCATCATCATCACTCACATCATATTTTACCTTGGTAGGCTTTGCCATGTGTCAATGAAGTGTCGAAAATAGAGGGCTTGTTGTTGATGGTGATGCTAGCTAGTGCTTTCTTGATAGATTTCTCACCATCATCACTAGAGCCATCACTATCCGAAGAGCCATCACTATCCCAAGTGACCACATAGCATCCACCCTTCTTCTTTTGGAAGGTCATCTTCTTCTCCTTCTTCTCCTTTTTGTCTTTCTTATGCCTCTTCTTCTCATCCTCATCATTGTCACTATTATAGAGACAATCCGCTACAACGTGATCGGAGCTCTTGCAATTGTGACATCTTCTCACATATTCTTTGATCTTAGTGTGATTCTTCTCTCTTTTGCACCATAGCCATTCTTCTTCATGAATTTTTCCATCTTGGGCCCAAAGAGAGCCATAGCTTCATCATCAATGTTACTAAGATCATCATCATCACCTTATTCTTTCTTGAATTTGCCCTTGTTCTTGGATGATGAGCTAGCCTTGAATGCTACACTCTTCTTTTTCATGTCTTCATCTTCCTTCTTGTCATCCTTGTCAACCCCTTCCCTTTCCACACGGTATGTCTCTTGTGTCATGATATCACCTAGTACTTGGTTAGGGGTAATCTCCTTCAATCCTCCTCTTATGATAAGCAATCTCAACATCTCAAATCTTGGAGGTAGGCACATTAAGAACCAATGAGAGACATCACCATCATTGATCTTCTCTCCCAATGCCTTCAAATCATTTACAATCACTTGCAATCGATAGAACAACTCCGGAATGCTCTCATCTTTCTTCATCTTGAAGCTTGTCAACTTATCCTTGAGAATATACAACTTGACACTCTTCACCGTCGGTGTGCCCTCATATGTTTCCCCCCAATCTCTTCCACACCTTATTAGCTCTATCACAATCCTTGATTTGCTAAAACACCTTGGAATCAATGGTATTGTATATGGTGTTGAGAGTCATTGTATTGCATTGCTTATTGGTCTTGTCTTGGTTAGTGAGATTGTCGGGATCAATGATAGCATAGTCATTCTCAGTCACATCCCATACTTGATCATTGATTGAATCAAGATACATCTTTATATTTCTCTTCCAATAATCATAGCATGTGCCATCAAAGAATGGTGGTTTGCCCCCCACATGGTTGAACATAGCTTGAGCCATAATTTGATACCGAGGTTGTTAAGCCTTCAATCAAACGATGATCACGGCTCTGATACCACTTGAAAGGTCCTAATATGGCTAGAGGGGAGGTGAATAGCCTATTTAAGTTTCTACAAACCAACTAGAGCAATTTGATTAGTATGACAAATAGCGAAATACAAACTTGCTCTAGCTCTATAAGGGTTGCAAGCCACCTATCCAATAATTTTAGTTACTATGATCACTAGACACATAATTTGCTAAGTCACTACTCACTAAGAGCTCTCACACTTGCTACACTAAAGAGCTCCACTAGATGAACTTAAACTACAAAGCAAGCTCTCAATTCTAGCTACACTAAAGAGCTTGCTACAACTAGTTTACGAGAATGTAAATGAGTGAGTAGGGTGATTATACCGCCACATAAAGGAATAAACCAATCACAAGATGAATACCAATTCAATTGTCGGGAGAACACCAAATGGCAAGAGACAACCAATTTTCTTCCGAGGTTCACGTGCTTGCCGGCACGCTAGTCCCCGTTGTGTCGACCAATAAATGGTGGTTCGGCAGCTAAGAGGTGTTGCATGAACCTCATCCACACAATTGGACACTGCAAGAACCTACCCACAAGTGAGGAAACTTAATGACACGAGCAATCCACTAAAGTTACCTTTCGGCTCTCCACCGGGAAAGGCACAAGACCCCTCACAATCACCATGATCGGAGCCAGAGGCAATCACCAACCTCCACTCGACGATCCTTGCTACTCCAAACCGTCTAGGTGGCGGCAACCACCAAGAGTAACAAAGCGAATCCCACAGCGAAACACGAACACTAAGTGCCTCTAGATGTAATCACTCAAGCAATGCACTTGGATTCTCTCCCAATCTCACAAAGATAAAGAATCAATGATGGAGATGAGTGGGAGGGCTTTGGCTAAGCTCACAAGGTTGCTATGTCAATATAAATGGCCAAGAGGGTGAGCTAGAGCTGTCCACACGCCTTAAATAGTGCCCCCAACGAAATAGAGCCGTTGACTCCTCAGTCCTCTGAAATTCAGGGTGACCGGACGCGCCGGTCGGATTGACCGGACGCTGGACCCCTACGTCCGGTCGCCTGATGATCACCACGTGAAATAGCTTCAAATGTTGAACGCCCAATATCAATGGCTAGTCTGCTTTACGCCACGTGTTAAGTTGCGATCGGACGCACTGCTCAAAGTGACCGGACGCTCCATCACAGGAGTCCGGTCGTTTCTAGTAAGGCA